TTCACGGGGCCGGCACACTTGATTTTTTTTTTCTACACAGTTTTGATTTAGTATGTATCTGCGGTTCTCTTCGAATTGTAATTTTGTTACAGTTAACCCTATCATAAGCAAAATCCATGGAAGGCAGTGCGTGGCCCATTCTGGAACTAAAGATTTGTCCCCTTAATTGATGACCAGCCCACCTCGTGGTTCTAGTAGCTCTAGGAACGTGGTTACTGTGTGGGTTTTGAATTAGCGCACTGTTTCCGCGTATTCCAGACAAAGAATGGACAAGGCTCGTAAATTACTTGCAGCGGAGGAACGATTCTCACAAGATGAATTGTGGAAGGAAACTAAACCCATCCACTTGGGGTTTAGAAATGTGGGTGTTCGTACAGGGATCTAATGATTTCAATAGATTTGAGCTCGCTTCATTATTCTTCTGAAACGGTCTCAGAGAACCGGTAGGAAACCCAGAATTGTCCAAAAAGAGATTGAGGTGGTAGGGGATCCTCTTTATCAGCCAACAATGAATGAAGACGATCAAACTTTTTAAAGGGAGAAGGTTTTTGTTCGATATTTTGGAAGACCGGAATACGATGCTGTTCTAATGACTAGCTCAGTAAAAAATGAAAAATATGTTGGTTTGCTCTGAACTTCACGAAATTATCTTATCTTCCGTTTCCATTCACCTATTACGTCAATCTTTTTTTTCAATTTGACAATGTCTCTTTCACGTCGAATAATCAATGATATGAGGAGCGGCATTGGGCATTGATCAAGTTTTGAATTTCATGCGAGCAGCTCTGATAAAATATTTCAATTCGGTCGTTGGGGGTTTCATAACAGCTCACGAATGATCATATAAAATTAAGGGTTGATCAGAACTCGGAGTTAGGAGTAGTGGGAAAGGTCTGAAGAAGAGCGAGAATATTTAACACTCCCCATCTGGATGTCTCCTACTTTCCGGGCACCACACGCTAATCATTATGCGTTGCTGACGTTGGCGGTTTGATAGCGGGGCAGGGCTAGCCTTTGCGCCGCGAGGGCCTTGCTTTGCTCAACAATCAGGAAAAACGGGCTAGCGCCGCTTCAGACCCATTCCCCGTGACACGCTCCAGGGTCTGCAGAGATACCGATTATACGTACCAATTTCTGCGATAGAATCCAGTTTTATTGTTCTACTTAGGGAATTTGCGATAGCTAACCAGAAAAAACGCCACGTCCGCTCTCAAGTAGGATCCCCCTGGCCAAGGAACATGGTTAGCGCGAAGAAGGACGGTGTGATCGGACGACCCAGCGAGGAGGTGTCGTAGTGGCTGTACTGAGGCGTTATACAAGACCCTAAGGGCGGAAAAAGGTTTCCTGTTTTGATTTTTCTCTGTTTTTTTCCCCTCACGTGCGCAATGTACCCCCTTCGATCCCACTCTAGGAGAAAACACCGGAAAACTGGTAGAAGGAGAGAATTCTATCGATTGCGTAGTGCAGAATGGAAAATCGGCCATACGAAGGAGCAACTTTTGAGGGGATATCGTATTTTGCTATTTTTCCCCAGAGGCAAGTCGTGCCCTGGTGGTTGTTATGGTCGCTGCGATTTCACCCGTCTCATTCCTTATTGACTGTCTCCCTGCCTACATCCTTTGGCAGGTCTCCTGTTATCATGGACGAATAGAGCAGTGGGCGGGACCAGTGAAGGTGGGTGGGGCCAATGAGAGGTTTGACAGCCTGGGGGCCCTCGTCACTCGCTTTTGCGTAGCGGGTGCGATCGCAGTCGCAAACCATTCGCTAGCGGAGGCAGAAGGACTTCCTGGCTGGTCGCGGAGGGTGATGATGTAATGATTGAAATGATTTATATCGTTGAATTGTAATTACTTACAGAATATACCATTGACTTCTTGAGACCGGTTAGCATCATCAGTAGTGATAAGCCATTCCTATCATTTATCACAACCGAATGATTTCAATTTTCAGGGCAACTATAGCATAATGCACGAGCTAATCACATGTTCGTCGTGTGGATCAAAAAACTATCACGCTGTTAGACGTATGAATGAGATGGCCATCATCTAGGAGTCGCACTCGTCGTTGCCTTTTACTATGGTTTGTTATTAGTGACGCCCCTTTCGTCCATTATCGTCAAGCCTCCTTCTTTGTCCTTTGAGCTAATCTCACGCTAGGAAATCGGACGCGGAATCTACAGTCCATCCGATGAATTTACTTGTTTTCTCATTGTTCTTGTTTGTTTTGTAGTTCGAATTTATCCCTCACAAACCCACACACTCATTTACCCGGGTTGACCCAAGTAGCCCCATTTAAACTCCCTGAGATCGCGTTTATAGTTCGGCTTACAAATAGTCGCGATTTCTCACTACGTAGTTGTGTACGTTTTCTTGTGCTGTGTACTGCTGCGTTTTCATCATCACCACCATCATTCTCATCACTTTCGCCTTTAAAAATCCTCTACTCCACCCCCTCATAGCCCTCAGAAACGGTCATTGTGACGCGCTGGTGTCTGTTGTCTCTCCGGTATCCACACACTCACACACTTTTCGATTGCAAACCAGCCGGTGTCCAGCATTTCGCTGCGTATCATGCAGGCGAGTGGGCGTGGCTAGTCCAAGTGGGCGTGGACAGACAGAAAAAACAACTCATCATGTTCTCACTGTTGCAGCTGGCGACGGAGAGCTGATGAGGGAGTCTGACCGGCTCTGGAAAAAATATCACAACTAAAAGGCACATCAAGCGTGCAACAAGGGCGCTGGGGGTCGAGCGATATTTAGGCGCGCCAAGGATTCGGAGAGAGGCAGACACCGGCTAGGTATCAGGAAACCTTACTTGTGTATATCTGACCCTCTAGGAACAGTTTGAACACGATTCCAGTGCGTCGAAGGAGTCCAGACAACTCATCATAGGTTGAAGCTGTTATGATGTCGTTCATTGTTTTGGTCGTAATTACACAACTACATGCTCTACCGTAATTGTGTCAGGGTGGTTATGGTGTAATTACCTCCGAAACATCGACACCTTACCCAGTTAGCTCTCATTCTGAAGTGAATAGCTGAAGACGCGCGCGGTCATCGCATGGATGCTTGGTAATGTAGAAGTCAACTACCACAGAAGCCGTGCTGCGAGCGCGCGCATCCCTGGCTAGTCGCTCTCCTCTGTGCCAAAGCATTTCTTCCGTCATGCTGGATGGATGAAACAGGATTTTTTTCTCTCGAAGTCTCGAATAGGCTTCGGGAGACGGACAAGACGATCGTAAATTGCCGCGGCGGCGATCGCGCGGCGCATCGTGGGGTGGAGCGCGGCAAATTCCCGATCTTCAGTCTGACGACTGAAGCAGCGACTCTGACTTCAGTCTCACGGTTGCAAGACTCTGTGCCGAGCGATATCAATCTTTCTCGCCCCTTTAACATTCAGATTCAAACGACTGCGCAGGACAACTCGTCCCGTGCGTGTGCGATGTTGCGCGCCGCGTCCAGCGCGTCAGATTACGATTGTCTTGTCACACACCCGAAGTTTCAAGCAGTCTTCAGTCCTGATAATTTCCAAAACGTCTCCTTTCGATTGCACTCCTCTCTTCCTCTCTCCTCAACTACCTCTCTTTCGCCCGGCCCGTAAATAAAGTACCAGTGCCGCATTCTCGCTTGGTGGAATATTGCTTTTAGGTTGTTGTGAATGACTGATGTTCTGCTGGAATGTGCTAAGTCCATCTGCCTGTCTGTTTGTCTGTCTGTCAGCTTGTCTGTCAGTCAGTCCACGTATATGTGCGTACCGGTCCTGAAAGTTCCTTCTGTTTATCTATTGTTGTGTATATCTCAGTTTATGTATGTGTGTATGCATGTCTGTGTGTGCATGTGTGTAACCTACCAGCTGCTCGGGTACCAGTCGTGTCCTACCGTATTCCCGCCTCACTTCTGATAGTCCGATTAGCCTACCTCCGGTGTTTCTAGGTGAAAATGATGTGCTCTATGTCTCAGCTGTCTTAATCCCTCCACCTCCTACACGTCCGTCCCGATAAGTCCCTGTGCTATCCGGGTTAGCCATTTCGCTGTCGCCGATCTACTGTCCATCCCATACATCCGCGTGAAGCATTCGAATACGATCAATTGTTTCTACTCTTCTTGTTCTTTATCGTTGTCTTTTGCTCGCTCCCCATCATCCACTCCCTAGCCCGTCCTTATCTGTTTGCTTCGTTTTCTATTACTCCCTAAATACTTTCGCTAGAGCAGTGTTGTTAATCACCCAAATAAACGCTGTACACTTGTATATTTGTTCAGCTATGAATAAAGATTGTTAACAGGCAATTCCGTCAAGCATCAGAGTCAATCAGGAAGTTCAAGGGTCATTATCAGTGGAAAAATAAAAAGCCCTGGAGTTGATAGCGTCGCAATCAGTTTCAAGAAGGTTTTTTGAGCCCATTCACGGCATTATCCCCACTGGTTCTTTTCTTCCTGAATTGACCACTAACCGACTACTATTGATTGAGCGAGGCAGTCGGAGGCGGGCTCGCTCCGCCCCTTCTGACACCGCCCCACCTGATTGCGACGTTATCTTATCTACTAAAACTCTAATGATAAAAGCTACTAAGTCTCCCAGTACGCGAATCACTCCCATTGGCCGATTTGTAGATTGCAAGCACTTTTTCTAACAAGTTTGAAGAGTCGAAGAACTAACGTACTCCACCTCCCGAAGAACGGTCGCTTCCTATGTTGAGACGAATGGAGCGTGCAGTTGCGTGCCGTCGTGCCGCTTTGCATACCCCTCAGAATACGCGGACGGGCTGTATGAGGCGGGGGGGGGGGGGCTCTGAGTGCTGTCTCCGTACTTTGCTCGCGCTTTCCTCAGGATGCAGCACTTACGCTGATACCAAGGTTCCGCAGCAAAACACGCACTCAATACTAGAGAGCAACCGGAAATGCTACTGGCTGGCCATGCGGAAACGCAGGCGGAATACCTGGGCATCATTACTATCCTCCAACCCCGTTCCCGTGCACTTTTGGCCGAAGAGAGTGGCACACCACTGCGCTGCGGACGCTATTTTCTCCACACAAACCAAAAGGACCGGAATCCGGACGGACGGACGGATAAGAGTGGACAATTTGCCTTTGTAGATCCAAGAAATCAAGCACTCTCTCCATCCTCACTGGCTGAGCCATGCATTCTATTGCATACAGTATCGTGATGGCATTTGAATGTGTCTTCCCTGTATACTGGCCTTCTGGAGGCAGCCAATGGACAAGTGCTTTCTTAGATCCTCCCAGACGATCATACTGTCACATATTCTTCGAGGGAAGCTCTAATCGGCAAACTGGCTGGTTCAAGATTTCATAGCACGGAACCACTAAAAATTTTTGAGAGGTTTTGGAAAAAAGCGGCTGCTTGAGTTCCGACTTACCATTGGACAGTACTCAGCGCCAGAGATGTGCCAGCTGGCTGTAGTCAACTCGTCATAGAAGTTCTGCGCTTCCAAAACGCGAAAGAATCCTCTCAAAGGTGAAGACAAAATCTAGTTTCTCCACCACGGTGACTCACCAGGAGTCAGGCCAAATGACAAGCGTCCTACGGTCTTTTCTCCGTGCGAACGCTGGGCGTGTCATAGCGGGGAGAGGGGCTGAAGGCGCTGTTTATCGACGTGGGGAGGGTATTCTGCTTTTCTCATCGATTCGCCAACCCAAAACTCAGGTACCCCTTTTCGTGTTGACCACGTTTTAGGATGGTACTAGAACGATCTTCTTCCAGCTTCACAAAGTGTTTCACTAGTTTTAACAAGCAGTGTGCTTGTAAACCGTAACCGAGGGAAGCAATTATAATACAAATTTCCCCCCCCCCTTCCGCCCCCCACGTCGCATAAACAGCAGCCGCGAGGCTAAACCTGGTCGGATCGGCACCAACTCTTCACCATATTGTTGAAGCGGGCAAGCAACCAACCAATTGGCAAAAACAGGCTGGCGCCATGCCAAACCCAGCCCTTCATACGCTCCGGTATCGGCACCGAAGAAGAACGTTATGTATTGCGTTGTAGGCCTCCGCTCGCTGCGCGACACTTTCATTGAAAATTCACGTTAGCACCGCTCCTTTGATCAACAATTATTTCATACAGTTTGAAAACATCACAAAAGAAAAAATAAGTGAAAAAAATCATAAATAAACGGCAGTTCATAGACAGCGGAGCAAAATTGTTATCGGTCAATTTAATGCACAGCCTCTGAAGGCACATGTCATGAGTGGCTTACAAAAGAACGAGCTCGAAGGAACAACGCTAAAATAAACTGTTGCCAGAAGAACCCTGAAGCCAGTAGCGGGAAAGCAGTTGCACTGGAATTAGTCGCTCACAGGCACGCCCGCCCCAACCCCGAGTTGAAATACTGCTAGGTCATTGGGGAGGAGATCGATCGGATAATGTGGTGTAATTGGGATGCTGTTGAAGAAAGAAGACAATTCCAGACGAAAATGCCTCAAATAAGGATCCTACTCGCTTTGAGCATTATATGAACACATGGCGCAGAAGTACAAGTAGGAAAGTGTTTGTAGAAATTAAAAGCGGATAATGGTACAGTCGTTACCAGTGAAGTTATTCAGGGCGTGTCAGTGGGGCACAGGTTTGGCGCGGCGTCAATCCCTTTCCCCACCACTTACTGACGAGCGAAGCCGCAACGATTGATGGAAGATGGGCCTGAGACCGCGCCAAACGTGTGCTCGCTCGCTGACCGTCCCGACTGGCATCAGTAATAAAGACTGTATGGGTAAAATATGTACAAGAGCCCCTACAGCTATATAGCTGGTACAGATGGTAAAACAGAATGAAAAACGGTGGATTCAGCTCATATGGGCGGAGCTATCCTGTCGTCGCTAAGCCGTGGCACTCTTGTCGACCAGTTTAAAGTCGCAAAAATGGACATGCTCCGCAATTGTGGACCGCGCTACCTTCGTGCAATAGAAGGCTTCTGTAGCTCGGGTAATCGTGGACGCTGTCTTTAATAGCACGGGTCACTTTACACGAAAATGAATTCTCTTCTATAGATACTGGAACGTTGAACAACCAAGGTAGGGCCATGGGGGGGGGGGGGGGCAAGGCTTGGCGCAACGTCAGTCCCTTCTCTACCATTGTTGAAGTGTGCAAGCGGAAACAGTGTGAAAAACAGGCTGGCGTCGGATCAAACTCAGCCCCCCCCCCTTCCGACGCGCACCACGCAGCAAATAAGGTTGCACATCTGTTCACAAAAAAAAAACTCAGAAGCTGCGTGTTCTTGAACTCGAAGTCAAACTATACAATTCTAGCTATTCTAATGTTCTAGGAACTATCAACTGTAACAATTTCAACAAGCAAAAAAACAACGAGGAAACAATCAGGAAACATTCAGGCACATTTTTTGATTTCAAGCCAAAGGATAAGCAACGGGAAACTAGCCACAGTGTACAGATAGGCCTTTCTTACAGCTGGCACATAAAACGGTGCAACTAGCGCTGCGACAAAGCAGAGGGTTGGTGGAATGGTTCGGTAGATCGACACTGCTGGTTCGTGCAAGGACACCGGATCCGGAAATTCGCCTGTTTCGTAGAAGCGGTCAAGAAGCCTGAAATCAAGTACGCTTTGGGAAGAGGATTTACTACTATTTGAAGCAAACCAAAGCAAAGCAGATAGTCAAGTAGCTTTTAAGTTCAAACTAATAAAGCTGTGAGGCGTGAATGAGGAACCGCCTGGTTCTGGCGCCATGCAGCAATAGCAGTGCTGACAGCTCGATTCAATCCATCTTGTGGTCTTTGATGTGTCAGCCTACCAGAGCAATGCGGTCATTGTCAATGTGGGCAATTCATTGTATAACTGCTCATGAGATGAAGTCTGACTCCGAAAACAGAATGGCCGAGTGGCGAGCATGCAAGAGCTTTTGTCGACATGAGCTAGATGTGATCCTAGAGTTGAGCCAGCTCCTTACGTGTAGTAGGGGTGTGGGACAGCACATTCAGGTTGCGGTATGATGCGTCCTCATCGACGTCACGTTCGCGGCACCAGGACCTAATGGATTGCAGATGGGAGTATCGTAGTAGTCAAGTCACTTAGCCAGGAGGTACTCTGCTACCTCGTGCGCGTGCAACTTCAGTGCGACGTCCTGGCCGTGTGGTGGTGAGGCCACCTCCTGCTGGCCAATTTCCACCCTAACAATGGTGTGGAAACAGAAAACAGTTAAACACACCAAATATTAGTCTTTAGCCTCAATTTTCTTTTTGTTCAGAAGACAAGTACCAGAGTAAAGCAGTAATCGTTTGGAAGATCAAGGAAACCCACTTGTCTTTCTCCCTATATGCTTTCAGCGTCCACTCTTGCAGTTCCTTACGGTTCTTGTGCATATCCTTCGCTGGATATCTCTTCACATGAATACTAAGGGTCCTTCCGGCCAATCCTCCACAGCAAAATTCGAACATATTGGGCGCGAGGCCATGGCGTTTCGGTAACCTTCAAAAGTCCAGCACTTTGACATTCAAGGCCATTCGATCACCATAAACAACTTTTTGTAGGATGAATAAGTCAGGAGGGTTGTATATCTAAATTACGAGGGAACTACCTAGAACAATCTTTATACCACTGGCCATGTCAATCAATAACATCGAAGCTTTTTTCAGATAAAATGAAGAGGTAAACAGATGGAAAAAGTAATACCATAAACTCAGATTAGTTAGACTTTGCATCGTCAACGTCTCGCTCCAGGTGTTCAAGGGACATTTGGACAGCGCATCCAGTTGACAACTTCGCAACCAGTCAGAGCGGTGTCAGGAGTAGCATGAGTCCGCTTCCGGATACCAATGGTGATCGGATAGCAACCGATTCAGAAGGAAACAAACAGTGGCGAAAACACCGCGGTGGGCTCATTGCATCCTTTCTGAGACCGCCCCGACTGACTGCAACGAGATAACCAATTTGCTTTTTCGAAAACTGCAGATGAGATGCTGTTGACGTCAGTTTCCGCTATCGACAGGTTGTCGTATCTTTGCTGAACAATGCCTTCAGCTGACCAAATTAGATGAGCTTGCACGGCTTCACCCACCTCAATCCATACCTCACTTTTCTTCCTTTTGGCACGGCGCCAGCCCCTTTTCCACCTCTCATTGAACGCCCGAAACCGCAACGATCAATGGAAAATAGGCTGGCTCCACGCCGAACCCATGCCCCGCTGACACGGCCCCACGCCGACTTCTGTGGTAGCAACTGATCTCTTTACGTTCTTGAATGAGATTACGCATATATACTGGCATGTAGTGAGCCAGAAAAATCTGAAGAACTCGACATTGGAGGCGCAAAAAATCCCGTGCCGGCCAGGAAACGTCCGACTTCGGAGTTTTTTTTTGGAGGCAGCCCAGGCGGAATTTTTTTAAGACAGCACAAAAAAGAAAGCACAAGACGGCAGTAGCTTTCGGAACTGATGTCTAATATTTTATCCTCTTTTCAGTACACAGGGAGTTTTGCAGCGAATATGAGCAAAAAAGGGTACGGGAGATACACAAACGAGTGGCATTTCAGCTGTAGAAAAGGGCAGCAAACAACCAAACACACAACATTATGACTCAAGATTTTTTACATTGTGGGAGCCATACTGCTGTGGGAATCTCAAGAGGTTACCCCGGAAATGAAGCCCAGCGCAACCCATTGATCACATAACATGAAATTGAGGTTGGTAGAATTGACCAACCTGGTCTGACCATATCCGATGGTGACGTCATAGATCGCATCTAAGGTCTCTAGTCGCTCTAACGCCATAAATATACCTCCAACTCGAGGACTCAGAACATTCTTGAATTCTGGTATTCCCTGAACTAATAAAAGAAGTAAACGAATCATTACTTTTGACTTACGTGACCTCATTCTCATAAATGTGTCCCATAGGCAAAACAAGCTGATAGCTTCTTAATTCCTACAAATTCATCATAGATTACCTTTCTACGACAAAACTCCTGGCTCAGAAGGATCTTCTGCTTACGTTTGCGAGAGTACCTGTAAACTTTATCTGAATTTAGGGAACCTGCGCTCTACTGAGCAGTAAAATTTCAGAAATAGTAAAAAAAGCAGAACCGCAGCTCTAGAGCAGGCGAGGAAAGTGCCGCTCGCTAACGACGGAACCACGGCCCCGCCCACATACCACGACGACGCCCGAGTTTCATTTATAAAGATTTCCTGGTGGCTCTCCTTTTCGAATGGTGTGGGTCAGGTAATAAGGAGAAAGAGCTCGTACCAACAAGAGAAAATTCATCTGATCACGCCCTTTCTTCCTCTTATGCGCTGGCAAGCATGAGGTTCCGCATTCAGCATGAGGTTCTGTACGAGGCATTTTCGGCGTTTATTTTTGTCTGCTTTTTTCTTTACTACTGAATCACTTACAGCCTTGTCATTAGTATTTGAGCCGCGAAATTCCATGTTTTCAAACCCGGGTCACAGGCGCAGGCTTGTAACTAAGCACAGGTTAATCTCACCTCGTTCCTTCCGGAAAAATGAGCAGCCAGAACTTTTCATTTAACGAATCCAGCCAAGCAAGCTGCTTCAATACCGGTGCACTCAGAAACTCGCCATATCTCCGAACGTATATGTAACCACGCTGAAAACTTCGAACTATGACTACTAAATAGGGCTACGGTTTGTAGATGCAACTTTTAGCGAAACCAGATCTTAATATCATGTACAGTCTTGATCGCAGCGGAGATGGGAGGGGGCGGAGGTGCCAGTGAGGCTGGGTTTGGTGCTGCCAGTCCGTTCTGGACCAAATGTTGAAACAGGTAAGCTACAATAATTGGTGGAAAACGACTGATATTGACGATATTTTACCGTTCGCGTAATGTTAGATGGATTCTGAGCTTCATTATATTGTCTTTTTTGATTGATACTATGAAATCCTTCCAAGTCGTACAACTGTTGCTATTATACAGTCTTGTCGCTTGTCGAAAGAAAAAAAAAGACAAGAATTGGCTAGCGTCACGCCAGGCGGCCCCGCTCCCTTCCTCCCTTGACAGGCTCCACAATCTGCGCAATTGTATGCACTTTGCAACGTCCTATTACAATGGATTATTCAGAAAATAAGAGGTCCAAGGTCTACAACAAACCTGAAAAGTGTACCATCCGAAGAGTGGTACAAAATGGATTACATGCTTCACCATGACACGAAAACCAGCTGAGTTACCGTGCTGTCCCTGACGTTCCGCCAGCATAACTGCTACAACCCAGTCCACTGAATAATTTCTCGTGAGTCCAGTAACTGGAAGTGGCTACCCACAATATTTACCATCACTCTGGTGATTTGCTAGAACAAGAGCACTTTCAGGTTCACGCATCAAATGCTGGAAGTCACCATAGAGTTTCAACTGAAAATTCAGATCATCACTTTTTTAGTAACTTCAAGTTCACGATTCACGATTCCTGAGAAAGCCCAAAAGAGAGAAGTTTGCGAAAACTATCAGGTAGGAACCTCGGGTTCTACGCTTTTGGCATTGCTTGTACTTGTCGCAACTGCTCTGTGATAAAGGATAGTAACCAGTGGCTCAGTAAGGCTGCGTTCATACTTGATGACAGCGGAGATTCGACGATTCGGGAGAGTTGGCGTTCCGGGCAAAGGAGTGGTTGAGTATCAATCGGCCCAGGTCGCTAGCAATTGCGAGCATCCGGCAATCCGGTTTTGGAAGATAGAGCGATCCACCTATTTGGAAGACTCGTCTTCCGGGCAGAAAGGAAGTGGATGGGTACACGATACCTATCTACTTCCTTGGCGCGCTGTAAGCGGAGTCTCCCAAATCGCCGTCTTCTCAATCCCTAGGCATAACGCTGCCCATTCTACATCGCTTTAGCAGCAGGTTTTTTTTCCACCAAGATTAGAAACGAAAAGATGTAGTAACGACATACCTGTACCCAGAAATGTTTTCAAACACAAAACAAGCACACCTCATGTAAGCTCTATATAAGTGGTTGTCCGAGAGGCGTGGAACATCATAATATCTAAAAGACATCGAAAGATATCAAATAATGTAAATACAACCTGGGTAACCTTCTTGGCACAACCCTGAACAGCACATTCTTAATGATACAGTGGACGAAAGGTAATCATCGAAAAGGAAGAGGAGTGGAAGCATGGAATGCAAGTCGATTTTGGTCCACCAGACCACTAACGTTGATAGTATCTAGCGCCTAAAGCCCCCCCTCAGAGAATGACGACGGGCCTGTACCGTTCACAGGAAAAGGTTTGGGGTTTCTTCCCATCTATAGTTGTTTCCGTTGTCGGAAAAAGAACGCAGTCGTATAAAAAACTTGCAATCATGAAGAGAATCGACAAACAGGACCAGATCCTTCCTTCTTCTGGCACTATTTTACCCTTGCTGCCCCAATCAATTTTTCCAAAATCAGGCCACTTTCTGACTGACACTTTTCTCTCCGAGAGCAGAGATTGGCTAAAAAGTATCTTACCGGGGTAGTTTGGACTCAACTAAACACGAATACCCGCTTGAGAAGCTCGAAAACTCCTGGCACCGCGCTACGGCGCCGGTGCCAAACATAATCAAATCATAACACAATTCAAAGGAAACTTATTCTCAGGGGCAGTTTATCCCCCCCCCCGACACGAAAATCTGGATGGAGCATTGAGAATGTTCGGGATAGAGTAAAGGGGTACACGTGATTGTGACTGGTTCTACTCGCCTGCACCGTTTCTCCTTTCCTCTGCTAAGGCTGAGCCTTAATAAAAAAAGATCATTGTCACAGGGAACCGGCGGCAGTGCTGCTTTTCTCTACCGTTCGCTTAATACCCTAGCGCACAGCTTCTCACGAAAACGAGTGTAGTGTGCTACAGGCCAGGGGTCAAAAGAAGCATGTAATCTCTCGTGACGTATGCGTCGGGCGGTATCAGTCAGACGGATGTGATATTCGTGTTCAGGAAGTCAAACTACCCCACTTGACACGTTTTGAGTGATTTCGAGATTAAAAGTATTTTTGGCCCCGGCACCAGAAGGTATTCGGCTGAGCGGATGTGATATTCGTGCTCAAGAGGTCAAGCTACCTTCGGAGACAACTTTTGAGCCCCATGTGTCCTCAGAGAAAAAAGTCGGTAAAAAACAGGCTTGATTCCAGATGGAACACTGCCCTTTCCTTTATTCCATTTGGCGTCGCGATAGAATAGAATCGACATATTTGGAAAATGTGGTGAGCCAAGGTGCAGGAACAACTCGTCAACCCCATTCTCCGATACCCTCGCCGTCCGACCCTGCTATCCTCTCAAAATGCAGTTGGCCGACGCCACTCAATGCACCACTCTTTCTTTTCAAAAGTCGATTCCTGATTCTCCTAACTTCCCAAGGCGCAGACCATTAGCTGTGCTTATCCTGGCCCACATTCATCCTATACTATCTCCCCGGTCGCAAAGCATAAACGAGAGCCTCAGAGTAAATAAAGAGTTCTGCTATCTAGGAATACAACTACTATTTATGCATCGTTAGTGATAAGCTCGATAACTCAGCTGGGCATACCAAAGACACTTTCATCAAGAGGCTCATGAACAACCGAAGAACCTATTTATTCAGCAAAATCCAAGCCTTTACAAAACAGAAAAAAAAACAGGGAAAGCCTTAAATGAAGAATCTCGCAAAACGCGCATCAAATTAAGTAAAATCGCCATAGAAGTGAAAAAATGAATTAATATCACATGGTATTAGAAAAAAATGAAGTTCACAACTGCCGACTAGAAAAGATACTGGTTCATAGTCATAACAACTTTGAGATACACTGCATTACATTAGTAAGAGGTATAACAAATGATGTTAGGAATGGGATTTCATGTCGGTGCAAAAATCGCTATTACAAATCGTCTATGGACGTAACAGTTATACTCAGGAGTGAAAATAATAAAAGTATATCAAATCAATAAAACATGCCGCGCCTAGAAATGAACCATGTTTTCTCATATGGGCAGAAACCATTGTCCGAGCCATCGCAACATTACATAGAAATAGAAATATACAGCATTAAACATCGATCTTATATTGAAACAAATGTAACTGAATATGCACCAACATCATCTCTAAGAACCGTAGGCGAAGAACGGCTTGGTGGGGCATTTTGCTGGTTCATATCAATGACTGCCAATGCCTCCCAAGGAGACCTGTGAATTCTGTTAAGCTATGCTATGCCATAAGCTTCGCTTACGCTTGACAAGAGGCTACGGTTCTTAAAAAGGTGAATCATGGTGCAATTCAAGAGGAACTAGCGAAAGCAACCAGCGAAAGTACAAAATGCCTCCCCCCTGAGCCGAACAGCGCTCAACCGCGTTATCGTGGTTGAGGCCGCGATCGACCGTGTGCACACACATGCATACAAAGGAAAACAATTAATCCTAATCAAATGTTTTCTTGTGGTTTCACCACATGCTTGTTCTTGAGAGAATATGATTTGAAGACGTAATACTGTAGTCCACCAAGGACCACTGGTGTCATGAGTAAGATCGTACGCATAGTATTAATAAGCTCATCCGACGCATGCTTCGATGAAATATAGTCCTGTAAACATCAGAAATTCAACAATCAACACCAATTTTTTCAAGGGAAAGAAATAGTTCAGTTGTTTAATGTAAACAGCTAGCTCAAGACGTAAGGAGGGATTACAAAACGAGGAAACAGTTCAGCTTTGGTTTCACCTATACTTCTATCCCTTTGTTTCCGACCCCCTTCCCTAAAATTCCTCAGTTGTTCGATTTTCAGCATATTCTTTCCACGTATCCTTAGTAGGAAATAACAAGAAAATAGCTCCCTTCCGTGTTTATCAGTAAGAAAAGGTTGGAAGAAAGAAAGAAATAGGAAAAAAGGGAAAATGTTATGTTAACGAGCAGTTAACTAATTTGGAAGTAACTGAATGTGATGATATTTTCCGAGAATCGAAACTGGATTTGAGAAGTCATCTCAAGGAAGGAAATCAGCTCGCAAAATCGATCGCTGGTTCAGGCGCTGATTCCCTTGATGTAATCCCACCCACCGGGAGACCGGGATACCCCAGGGAGACGTGGCATCAAAAATATGAAAAGCGGGCCCGTCCACCGAGCACGACAAGAAGAAGAACGAAAGAAGAAGTAAATATAAAACTTACACTGTACCCGTAGTTGTTGAGTATGTAAACAATTACAACTGGTGCTATCGATTGAGCTGGTTTAACGAATAGTGCATTCAAGCTGAATACTAGAGAAGACAGCGCGGACCTGGAATATAGGGATGAGGAGGGGCGAAGTAATGCAAGGTTTAACTTTTTGAGTTTCCACCCGAAAGTAATCGCGGAATATTGTCTCCAAACAGCGCTGCGCTTTGACGTTTTTGCCCACTGTGAACCACTTCCTAGCAATCCGGTATAAACCCTTTACGCTAAAGAATTCCATACCTTCGAGAATGTCTCTTCGCGTCGTCATCAATGAAATCCGAAATAACTATGTTAAACAGTGGTGCGGCCGAATGAACTGTTATGCTGAAACAGAGG